ACAAATAATTTTTAGTCTGATAATTAAGGAACTACGATAGCGTAAAACACCTAAAGGAATAACTAGATGATAGGACATCCTTTTTTTTATCAGATAAGCAAGGACAGATTGACAGATAAGAGACATCTTCTTGCCATAACCACCAGTGTAAATGTGAAGCATGCAAAACAGTTTAAGCTTAATTGTTCAAAAGTACCATCTCTGTGAATGAATAAGCAGCAAAAGAACACCAGATATTAATATAATTTGGAAAATAAATGCTTCTTAATGGCATAGAAGAACCACAATGAGTCAGAGAAACATGCTTCTTGCTAACCTTAGAAGATCAACAACAACAGAGAGACTATAGTGGTTTAACATTTGAATTGTCAGTAACGATGCCAAATTTCCATCCTTGGAAACCAATTATTCAGCCAGCAATCACATGTTTCAAATATGCATAGACAACATTCAATAAATTTCATAATTTCAAGCATCTGCATGTATTAACATGCTGGGCAACTAGAGAGTGTGAACCTACAAAATTCCAAGAAGCAAACCCTATTGCCAAGTATTATAAAGATTAGTCAAATATTCAAGCCAACCATTAACCAAAATTGGAACAAGAAACTCATAAGCATTGTCTACAAAGACAATAATAACTAATAAAAAATTAACCAAAAACAAGAAAATCAATTAGCCTACAACTTTAGCTAGCAAATGTCAAAAGTAAATGTGCATTTTTCAGCAAGACATTAGACATTGAAAAGATATGCAGCTCACTATTATCCCCAAAACATGAATCAATTCATTAGTTCACAAGAGCAGAAAGTTCATTAGAGCAGCTTTTAACCATTGACTTAAGCTAGAACAATAACGCCTCAAACTGACAAGTATCATACCAGAAAGACACAAAGAAACAATAATATCAGATCAATCAGAATTGTCATATACTTACTGGACTTCTTTGAGGGCTATGCCCAACTATCAATGAGAAGCCTAAACCATCAATTTCTTGGAAATTCACAAATGTCCAAATAGTCACTCACAACCAGAATTCCAAGGCCTAAATATTGGACAGACTTGTGCAAGTTCAACCAATTCAACCAATGTTGCGAACGGGATCCTATATTAATTTCACAACCACAATCAATCACATGATAGAAATCAATAAAATGAGCACAAGGAAAATTTAAATAAAAAGAAGAAATTACTTGAAAATTAAAAAATCATAATCCCACGACATCCAAGAGAACCAAGAGTCAGATTATTGAAGTGTTCGACAAACACATATCATCTCACTATCCATCGTCTTAAAAAGGTATAATTTTGTGAAGTACGTGCTCGAATAATCAATTTTATTATATAGTTGCATATTGTATCACCCAAACGACGAAAATTTTGAGAAATTACAAATCAAAAGCACATTAGGTTGCCGCATTTGCCCCAATTACCCCATCGAAAATAGCCATAGCCAAACCACACCTTATAAATCAAATGCCAGAATAAGCCGCAAGGTCGCAAGATCATCAGAATATCAAATTGAAATAAGGGAAAGGAATCGACCTGGTGAATCGGGGGGTACATGGAGTTGGCGCAGACGGGGCATTCGAGCAGCTCGTGTACGCTCGTGGAGGGGGCGATTCCTGCGGGAGGGGCGGCGCCGCCGTGGGGCTTCGAGGATTGGGTACGGGCGGTGTCCTCCTCATCCATCCCGTCGATCGAAGACACACACTCGATGCTATCCGATCCCATTCATCCGGCGGCGAGGGATTCAGTCGCTCGCACCTGCTCTCTCCCCTGTCAGACCTCGGCGTGGAAAAGAGGGATAGATACCAAAGGAAAAGGAGCGCCTTTGAAGGGCGACGGACAACAAGGGAGACGAGTGAGATAGAAAGAGGGGGAGGCAAAAGAGGTCGCTTTCTCGGTGTCTAGTCCTGAGTACCAGCGGTGACGAGATCACCAGTATTACTAACATATAACTTCGCAACCATCTTTCACCATCTACCCGCCTGGTTATTGGATGGAGTTAACGGGACCCAACTAAACTTGCCTATGCCCTACAAATAAATCAAGTACAAAAAAAGCATTTAGTCCCGTGGTCTTTTTCCGGAATCCCAACGGTGACGGGATCACAGTTGTTTGTTACAACAGTACCTTCCCAACGTGTTCCGGTCACCCGTTCAACTACCTACCTTGTGATAGGATAAAGTAAGTGGGACCAGGCTGTCGCACCTAAAGTACAGGAAAGTCGTCAGGAAAAGCATCTCGGTATTATTTTTTGTCAAACCAAAATATATAGTTGGATGAGGCGGGAAAACAGTCAAATCTTCACGCTTCCCCATACTATATAGTGCATAATATTGCATTTATCTACATGCAAAATAAATTATTTTTGAATTTGACTAATATATTTATATATAGCATCCATATTCTTATAAAATCTAAATACCTGCACACATATATATACAGATAATTGTAATAATTGGCCTCATGAGTTTTATATATATATATATATATATATATATATATATATATGTGTGTGTGTGTGTGAATTAATCACATCAGTAGCGCCCTGTCGTTACGAGCATTTATCAGAAATATGCGATCAAATAGGACAAAAGCCATATTGATGTACAATACGAAATCATACAGAAACTCTAAAGCAATATTGCTTAAACAACGAAGGCATCATCAAATCGTGTTTTGGATGATACATAAGAGAGCATGTCGGATAACACGATCACATAATTGAGAAACTAATTTGAATCAGTCGATCATATTTCTCAAATAAAAACAAAAACAATATAATGAATAAGTTATATATTGTATACTCTGGAAATTCAATGAAGAATCTTTATGAGATTAGTAAATATAAATTAATAATTTGTCATATATTCACATATTTTGATACAATTTAAATTCAACTCATGAAGGTATATGAAAGGAATACGAGCATAAGAACAGATCAAAGCTTATGAAATTGTGGCTCATATGAAACATGAAAGGACGCAAACAAAATGAAGGCTAATTATATGTAGTTAGACCTCTTTAGTATTCCGATCTATAAACTTAAAAAATTTATATTAAAATTTTTATAATCATAAAAGTAAAATAATTAATCTCATTTATCTTAATGTCATATGCTTTAACGACGAAAGATATAACACGTAATAGTAGTACATGAATGATACGAAAACGATAGATAAAAAGATAATTTCAATAGTGGTAGCAGCTTATTACATATTACTCCTTGTAATTAGATCTCTTTAGCATCTCGATCCCTAGACTTAAAAAATTTACGTTGAAATCCCTATAGTTATCAAAGTGAAACATTTAACCTCATTTACCCTAACGTCGTCGATTTTACCGACGAAAAACACAGCACGTGCATAAATGATATAAAAACAATGGGCAAAAAGATAATTTCAACGATGGTGATGGACGATGGTGCCGAGGGTCGCTATTGTGGTGGTGATCGGCTACAATAATGCGATGGTCGACCATGTCGATTTCGATTTGAACATCGACGCCAAGGAAGAAGATGAGGCAGAGCGGTGAGGCATCTGCATCGACACCAGAGAAGGAAGAGGAGGGAGATGAGGCATCTGTGTTGACGTTGCACCGCTCAACCTCCTCTTCTTCCTCCAATGCTGCTTTGCGTCTGCATCGACACCAAAGGAGAAAGAGGAGGCATGTAAGGCAGAGCGGATACAATCGATTGATCTTGAAACCTTAGCCAAAACGATGATTCCTAATCCGAAGGCTAACTGCAATGCGACACTCCACCATTTCTTCGTCGTCTCGGTCGCCATATTCATTGTTGCTATCTTTCTGATACTCTCCCTCACCACCATAGTGTTAGAGGAGAGCGGGGAGGAGGACGAGGGTTTGTTGTCTCTCGTGCCATCAGATTTGTACTATTTGGGCCTCTATTTTGTGCGATAATCAGTCTTCGTCGTCTGATCGAATCCCCTCCAATCGCGTGTGGAGCTTATCCAGAAGCAGGTCAGCAACCATGTCGCTGTGGTCGGGGCATACATGTCGTTCGCACACTAGCTAAAGTTCAAAAGCTCGAAACATGTGCACCTCTTTACCGAGCTCGTTTGCAACCTCTCTCTCATCGTTGCCACCCCTTCCTCGAATATGTCGTGCCACTAGACGAAGTGACTGTCCAAGGATTTGAGCGCGACACCAATGCAGATGTTTCACTTGCCTCATTTTCCTCCTCCAACATTGATGTAGATGTAGAGTGACGCCGAAGGAGGAAAATGTGGCAAGGCGATGCAGCATCAACACAAATGCCTCATCGCTCTGCCTTCTCTTCCTCTTTGACGTCGATGTTCGTATAGACATCAATATTGATAAGGCCGACCACCATCACAACAACTAACCACAATGCTACTGTCTACCAATACCATCGAAATTATCTTTTTGTCTATTATTTTTGTGTCGTTCGTACACGTGCTATATCTTTCGTCAGTAAAACCGACAACATAGGACAATTGATATTAAATATTTTACTTTAACAATTATAGATATTTTTATATATTTTTTTTAAGTCTAAGGACTGAGATGATAAAGAGATCTCTTATACGAGATAATATAATATATAATTAGCTTGTAAAATGAGCTAAAAAGCTTCTAAGTCCATATCATAAAAGACTCATCCAGGTCAAACTTTAGAAAGTGATTTGATCACGAACTATTTACCATAGTCAACCTTGGTGAGGCACCCCATTGGAGGCTCCTCCTAGAGCTTTTATGGGCAATTCATGTAAGCACCGTAGAAGCAGTCGGATGTTAGAACTCGAACAAAAATGAGTACCCATGTTAGTAACAAATTAGGGCAACAACAATGATCTATGCCATGCTACTGCCACACCACATTGTTTTAACACAAGGAAAGCACAAAAACATGCCACGGACAGCCATATCATGAACACAAGATCCTGAAAAGCAAGTAAATAGTAGACATTATTATCATTCATCCAATAAGTGAAAACATGATTTCTCCATAATGACGAGAATAGTAATCAAGGATATGATTCACTGAAATAGTTTTTAGAAGTAAGTGGGCTCTCTTTTTTATACAAATTGATCATGTAAAAGAGTGTTTCTTGCACAGCCATGAAGAAGTGCAAGAGTAGTTGTGGACTCTGGAGAGAAATGAGCCATCAAATTATTTGGGGACTGTCACTAGTCTTGCTGACCACCAGATTAATGAATTTATGGGCAAGGATAAAAAATGAGGTAAAAAACTCATCATCCAACAATAAAAATTTAGACCGGGATATTGTCAACTTGCTTCATAACCAGGGGTTCTAAACATAGTAGCCAGTGAAAGTAAACCCTCTTCCAACTATCTCACCAACACAGAACCATGCATATAATTCAAGCCCGAACAATGCTGCGATGCCAGCATCCTCAACTTTAAGTTCCTTTCTGTTTCTCCATATGTGCTTCACTCCGTCAAGCTCCTTCCAAAATGAGTCATAACGACCAGGGATGCTGTGATTACAAGATGTTAGTATCGACACATAATTGTTCTTAAGCCTAAACTTCTTTTTCTTCCAGAAACTGAACATGCGCTTGGCCCAACCAGAATTAAATATTTACAGTATCATACTAGACCTTTTAACCATGCAGGATAACATCTAAAAGAATGGTTTATGGATTGTGCAATGTAGGAAATAGGTATGTCACACAAAACAGACAATCTCTGAACAGGAACATCATCGAATAAATTGAAGTCACTTCTCCAAGCAAATAAAAAAGAAAAACAAGTATTGATGCTTTTGGTTTTCTGAAAGTAAGTCCGACTAGGAAACTAGAATCAATTTCATGCAAAATAACACAAAAAACCTAACGACATAAGTGTCTTTGAATGCTCACCGAAAGCTGCTGCTTCAATTCCTGGAGATTGCAAGTATATAACCTAGTATTTGCATTACAAATTTTAACACACACACACAACACAGATTAACCATTTCTAACCATGGTAAAATTAGTTAAAGTTAAGGAATCATATAATATATAAAATACCATTAATGTTCACACACATGCATGCATGCATGCATGTATATATATCAAGTTATGGCATATCCAATGAAACACTCTAGATAGGCAAACATTCAAGTGTAAACAAATATACGCAATTTGTCTCCCAGTATTAGGCACTAGCACATTTTCACTAGACTAAAAATGTGGATCTCAAATAATGATTTATCATCGGAGGTTTCATGGGATGACTTCATAGTTGGTTTCATCCTAAGGAAATCCTGGTGGAAAATGAAGTGTCTATCTAAATTTGAATGATAAATCCTGACCAAGAATGCAATGGCTGATATAGAATTCCTCACATTTCAATTTAATGGGTTCTTTTTTTGGAACATTGACAAGTCTCTTTCAATATAGTAATTTGCAAATGATGAGAGACTAATTTGTTGTCCTTATATCTATTTCATGCTTATTTCTTTGGTAATAGCTTAGGACAAAGTTCAACTTCATTGTTAAGGCTGGTGCCACTCTATATGTATGTCCTGGTGCACAGCTATCATTCGTCAAATGTGTTCCAGGTAATGTAATTTTGGCCAATGTCCTACAGATGAATCCTGGATACTGCATGATTTTTGCACCTGAAAACTGGATGGAGTAGGAAATTCATTACTGCAGTAGAAGGATAATTGAGAACTATCTGATTTGTGAGAATGATGACTGGCTTAGATGAGAGCCTTATGAGATCAACTTGTTGGAAAAGAAAAAGGTAGGTGTGCAAAGGCAAGACAGACAGGTGAAATTTGAGAGAGGTACTTTATCATATTTGAGAGACGATTGGAGAAGATCCGACCATACCCAACTGACAAAGATAACCTTCGACCAATCTAAATAACTCACAACCTTTCATTGCAGTGTGTCCACTAAGCTAAGATCTTGGCTTTAAATGACAGATCTTTTTCGACTAACGTACTTTATTTACATGTATAAGTTCCAATGTTAACTGCAGCTTCAAGGTAAATTTCCTATCTCTGTGACATCTCAATTCTCCAATATGTATTTTCATTTCAAGGCAAGATTTTACACACTAAAGCAACCAAGGAAATTATCTGTCCTATGAATTTCGGCTATTTTCTGTAGTCCAAGGGGTTTATCGTTGGAGTCCATTTTTAGTCATTATGACGAGAAATATAATGATGCAAAGAGACTATATTCACTAACTAATACACACCATAGAAAACAATTTGAGAGGAAACCCTCAAATGTTGGCTTATCCCTTCACTATGACTGTTGCTCAGCACAGAAGAACAGCCAAAGGAAGCCAAACCACGATAACAAGCTCTGCCGTGGAATACCATGCCACCCACGAAGGCTAATTCATATGCTGATGAAAGTAACAGAATAAGCCCCTACATATGCCTCAACAAAGCAGCTAAACAGGCAGCACAGGATGCATACAAAGCCAAACCTTGCAAGACGTGTGTAAAACAGCTGTTTTGACAGTTCTTGACACTTCTCGATGGTGGGCGGTTGAACAATATACTGCTTGTTCTTCTCCAAAAGCTCCCTGTAGTAAGCGCACCCGTTCTTGGCCACAAACTCCGAGGCTTGAACAGCCTTAGATCGAAGCTGATGCAGTTTGGACGCCATCCACCAACTAAAACAAGTGCAAAACCACTTTCTTTTCGTCAACCATCCATTTCAAGAACGACATCTAAATCATGCAAAGTAAGCGTCGCAAGCCACGGAGATCAAAAGATCAAGAAGCACATGAGGGTGCAAACTCACGTATATTTCACAGACCCAGACCAAAAGAACACCAAAAATAATCAAAGCGAGAATGGCATAAAAACCAATCGAGATCGAAACCCCTACCGACGATCGAGAGAATATCAGGGAGAAACAAACCCTAGATCCGACTAAACCGTTAGATGAAAGGAATCACGGGAAAACGGCTCCATTTAGAGATTGGAGGCATTTCGATCAAGAGATTAAGAATCGAAGATGGGAATTTACCGATAAAATCCACCTCCCCCCTATCGGCCAAGGAAGAGATCGGACAGTAGACGAAAGCGTCGAAAACCCGGCACGGGGCGTCCGTAATTTCTGTGTATCGGTGCCATCTGTGTAATTTCGTAAATTTAGGCACATGTAAGGGTTCTGCGAGTCACATAGGTCATGTTGTGGTGTATACAGTAGTCTCTTGCGCTAATTACATGTGATAGTCACAGCTATTTTAAGGATGAATTGTTTATGAACATGCACGTTATCAACCTCAATTCGCTTATATCTCAACTAATGATTACATATTATCTCGTTATAGTTAGATTTCTTTAGTATCTTCATCTCTACACTTCAAAAATTTATATTAAAATTATGATAGTTATAAAAATTAAATATTTAATCTTATTCAACCTATTATTATCGATTTTATTGATGAAAGATATAGTACATGATAACACATACATGAAAATTATGGACAAAAAGTAACTTCAATAGTTATAATGGACAATGACATCGTAGGTGGCTATTGTGATAATAGTCGATGAGAACGATATGGTGATCGATCTCACCAATGTCAATTCAAATATTAACAACAATGAGGAAGAGAAGGTAGAGTAACGAGACACATGTGTTAGTGCCAAAGAAGGAAGAGGAAGGAGGTGAGACATTTACGTCGGCATTATACCACTCTACCTCCTATTCTTCCTTCGGCATTGCTCCTCATCTGTGTTAGCGCTCGAGGAGGAAGAAGAGGCAAGTGAGACATTTGCATCGCTAACAATGAGAAGAGATGGCACATGAGAAGGCAAGTGAGGTAGACTTGTGTCGCGCCGATGCAAATGCCTCACTTACCTTCTTTTCCTTCTCTAGTGTCGCACCACATGTTGTCATCCTCTTAGAATTCGTTGAGGCAAACGGAGCAATCGATGCCTTGCACCGATCCCTTACCTTTTTGTTACTTATGGATTATGATTTTACTGATTAATGCCTCATCAAGCCCATTCAATGGGGTAGCATTCGAAGTCTCGTTGAATGGGCTTGATAAGATATTAATTAGCAAGATCACAATCCACAAGTATCGGAAAAGACGAGAGATCGATGTAGGGCACCAATTGCTCCATTTGCCTTAGCAAAATTTGAGAGTATGATAGCCTACGATGTGGCATCCGAGGAGGAAGAGGAGGCATATGCATCAACGCGCGCACCACTCTACCTCCTCTTCCTCCTTCAGCGTTGCTCTGCATTTGCCTCGGTGCCGCACTGCTCTGCATCATTTACCTCCTCTCTCCTCCTCGTCAGCAACATAGATGTCTTGCTTGCCTCCTCTTTCTCCTCCGACATCAATACAAATATAGAGCAGCATTGGAGGAGGAAGAGGAGGCAAAGCAGTGCAGTGCTAATGCAAATGCCTCACCTCCCTTCTCTTCCTCCTTTGGCACCGACGCAGATGTCTCACCGCTTTGCTTTCTCTTCCTCATCGTTCATATTCGGATCGACATCAGTAAGGCCGACCACCACATCGTTTTCGTCAACTACCATCATAACAACCATCTATGACACCATCGTCCGTTACCATCGTTGAAATTATCTTTTTGTCTATCATTTTTGTATCATTCATGTACATGTTATTACATGTATCTTCCATTAGGGAAACTGATAATATTAGGATAAATATGATTAAATATTTTATTTTTTATAATTATAAAATTTTTAATATAAAAATTTTATTAAAAAAATATAAAATTATAAGATTAAATATTTTACTTTTATAATTAATCCTATAAAATAACCATGCCTTTATCACACATACCTAAGAGCCACAAAGACCTAAAGGTTAAATGACGACAATCACAAGCTTAGTCCTCGGCAAGAGAGAGAGAGAGAGAGAGAGAGATCACGGGCTGCAACAACGAAATAATAGACCAAGAAGAAGCAAACAACCAACATCAACACTACCGAAAGAAACCAAAAGAAATAAAAGTAGCATTTGGAAGAACACACATCATTCTTATCATCATAAAAGAAAACACAAACAGGTGAATCGATCCACAACAGAACAAAGGCAATTCCAAAACACAGAAAGGGAATCGTGTCAACAAAGCACTAAAGAAATATGTACATGCATAGAAGTAGCAGTACTCTACTTTTTGGTTGCCAGTAGAATAAATAGCTCGTGATCTCTCAGTCATTCCCACCACCACTTTTCCTCACGATGTTCAGATTCCGGGCTGTAGCATTCATCACAATTCTTTTGATTCTATTAGACAGCGGTCGTGTCCTCTGCCACACAAAAGGACTCCGGTCGCCGCGGGCGCCGTCGGAGCAGTACCCGGAGAACTCGACGCAGGGGGGGTTGACGGAGCAGCAGTTCATGCTGTGGGTCAAGTTCGTCGGCAGCCTCCGGCACAGTGCCTTCGGCAGGGCAGTGAACGAGGCCTTCTCTTCCCGCGCGCTCACCGTCGACAAAAACCCGTCGGCCGGAGACTTCACGACGATCCAGGCTGCCGTCGACTCTCTGCCTCTCATCAATTTGGTGCGAGTTGTGATCAAGGTCAATGCCGGCACGTACACGTGAGTGTCGTTCCCTTTCTACCTCATCACACGTACATACAAGCTCTGATGTGTGGAATCACGACACTTGCTGGTTGATTTCTTGGAACAGAGAGAAGGTGCGGATATCGCCGATGAGAGCCTTCGTCACCATACAAGGAGCAGGAGCTGGTAAGACGGTGGTTCAGTGGGGTGACACAGCCGAAACACTGGGGCCGACAGGGCAGCCCATCGGGACCTTCAACTCCGCCACCTTCGCTGTCAATGCCCCTTATTTCATGGCAAAGAACATCACCTTCAAGGTAAAGTAAATTACACGGTTTCAGGATGAAGCTTTGGGGAGTTCATTGTTTGTTGCTGTTTGCAGAACACAACCCCTGTTCCGCCACCAGGGGCGATGGGGAAGCAGGCGGTGGCGCTGAGGGTGTCCGCGGACGCGGCGACATTTGTGGGCTGCAATATTTTGGGGGCACAAGACACGCTCTACGATCACTTCGGCAGGCATTACTACAAGGATTGCTACATCGAAGGCTCTGTGGATTTCATCTTCGGGAACGCTCTCTCGCTCTACGAGGTCAGAACCTAATCTGCACACACCATGCGTTCACGGCAAGCTTCCGCTTGTCACGTAGCAGCACGAGGCGAGTGCGCCGTGGGGACAAGCGCCGCTTTGTGCTGCGAGACCCGATTCACGTGCTGTGGCACTGTTGCGTCTGTGTCTGAGTCGTGGTGTTGGTGCAGGGATGTCGTGTCCACGCGGTGGCGCGGAACTACGGCGCCGTCACGGCGCAGAACCGGATGAACCTTTTGGAGGACACAGGGTTCTCGTTCGTGAGATGCAAGGTGACGGGGTCGGGGGCGCTCTACCTGGGGCGGGCATGGGGAACCTTCTCCAGGGTCATCTTCGCCTACACGTACATGGACGCCATCATCGTCCCCAGAGGATGGTACAACTGGGGAGACCCCAACAGAGAGATGTAAGCCCCCTACCTTACCACAACTTGTATGATGAGGCGATCAGAGTCTCACACAGCATTTGTGATGATACAACAGGACTGTGTTCTACGGGCAGTACAAGTGCAGCGGCCCGGGAGCGAGCTACGCGGGAAGGGTTTCATGGTCGAGGGAGCTCACGGACGAGGAAGCAAAGCCTTTCATTACCTTAAGCTTCATCGACGGCTCCGAGTGGGTCAAGTTGTGAATGCCGTCCACCATTTGCCTTTTCTTCCCTTGAGATTGTCCAAAACAATACAGCAGCAGAAGAAGAAGAAGAAGAAGACGTCTCTTAGGATTCTTCGAATAAAACAATGGTTGCTCAAGTCACTTGTGTTTCACCAAACATACCTCAGCCATGAATTGGTGATTCCATGCATCCAGCAAACATATATACTTATCATGTCAAACATACATTTGCAATCAAAGCACGCGCATATAGGATCAACCATTTAGAGTCGCTACTAATTTATCGACTATTTCATCGAGCATTGAGAAAGTGTTTTCGAGAGAGGAACAAATGCCACAGTGATAAAGTGAATTGACATATACAGAACTACGTATACATTGGAATATATTTTGAGAAAGTGCTTCGGACAGCAACTATTTTCTATGAACAGGAGAGAGCATAAGAGGTTCCATGGAATTGGAAGCCGCATGTTACAGAAAAGAGATCACTATATGTGATACATGAAATAAACCCGTACAGACAGCAATACTGCAACGAGAAAAGAATCAACTGACGCCGAGGAACGCTGTACAGATCAGTCTTTTTTTTTTTATACAGGAAAACAACCCGACAAATCTTCAACGCATCAAAATGCTAGGAAACTCTGACGACAGTCGTGATAATTACATAGAACTGAGAAACCTAAACCTAGGTGATCATCTCCTCCCAGCACCACCATGCCGTTGGTTTCGGAAATAGCTTAGAAGAGCCTGAGCCTGGAGAAAAATGAGAGAAAAAAATGACTCATGTTATGGACCCGAATTACTGATTAAACAATATAATTATATTAAGCCAATGCAAGAAAATGATCCAATGTGTCCTGTTCTCTTAATTCCTCTTTGTTCGGAAACCACAGCAAGAATTAAAGTAGTAAGAGGACAGGAAAGAAAAGAGAATGTATTTGGCACATGATCAAACATGAAAAAGATAGCGCAGGTAAGTCTTAACCTAACCGTCTGGAGCATTTGCTCCAAGAAGTAGAAAAATCTGACCTAAATAAATTTGTTGCTATAGGCAAAGATAATGTGATCAAATCATTAGTACGATGACTATTTTATTTAATTCTCAATACAAATACCACCTTAAACCACTCTAGTGGCCTACAGAAGGAATTTCGAAAAGCAATTGAAGCAACATTTACAAACTCCCATAAGCAAACTATCACAATAAGCTGCAGGTGACTTGCAAGATCAAAGAAGCTTATCCTACATTTGGATCTCGAAATTTGCCATAAACCTTTCAGCAAATTGCAATTTTTTGAATGAAAAAATCCAAAGAAAATAAAATGATCTAAGAGCGACACATAAGCAAGCAAGCTACGTACTGTGTTAAGGCCATTCAAGAAACTGTTGCTACATTCTTAGCAAAATTTTTGGATCATCCCTTTTACAAAAGTTATCCACAATGTGAAATTCCAGGTCCAGTGTTGGATGTCTCCTTATGGCCTCAATCAGCTTTCCGCACCTACTTGATCAGATAATTTGTAAGTACCTGAGTGTTTTTTTATGGCTATCAGGAAAAATGGCAATTTAACAGTCATGAAGGCTATATATCTAACCCTGATCACACTCCGGCTCTGATAGCAAGCCTCATTTTTTAAAATGTTTAATACACTACTAATTATTTGAACACTCAATACACCAATTTCATCTGTTCAATATTCTTATCCACTCTCAATCTCATGTGTCTAACCCTCTCATTGACACTATAGAACTTTAAAATAGTAAGCCTTCACCAGATGGATTCCCATCAAATGTCTAAGGCATTATTGGTTGCTTGAACTTTAAACTTCAAATTAGAAATTAATGTCATCTGTCCCACACTCATCCCATAAGTTGCATCCATCTATGATCCACATATAGTGTCATATACATTCTAGCTACCAATATTAACATCAGGAACTCTTCAAATCATATCCCAAGTTCAAGGCAACATATTCCAGTTCTGTACTAGTACTTATATCATTGCCAGTTTATTGTACTCATACCAATGTGTCAGATACAAATGCTCATTGTCACATCTTCAGGTACATGATGTATGTTTCCTTGAATGATCTAATAAAATGTTGTCTAAAATCAAATACATTGAGGATAAAATTTCCTGAATACCATATTAAAAGAATTTCTTGAGTTGATAATACAATGTATAGGACTTACACTGCTAAAACTATATTAGATCTTGTGATCATGAATCTTAATTGCTTTCATGGTGGAAAAGTTTTCCACAGAGCTAAACCCAAATAGTCAGGACATTATAATGTACAAGACTGATGTTGTTGTTGTTGTTGTTGTATTATAATGTACAAGACTGGTATATGACATATACATCAAGAATCTGATTATGATTACCTTCTCTATATTCTTGAAGCATTATGTGATTAGAAGTATTTTCATTCTTGCCAATATATTGGGAGGCTCATTACATTCATCATACAAAACAGTGTATGAAGTTTAACACATTATATGTCATATCATATCTCTTCCTTTCGGGATGTGACATATCCCTGTGAATATTGGTAGTCCATATTTGAATTTATGCTTCATGATCTCTTTTTTATGCTTTCTAACAGTGATTTTAAAAACGTTAGGCGCTAAGATCCCAAAACGCCCGAGGTGCTAGGCGCTTGCCCGAGCGAAACGAGACGCTCTGAAATATTAAAATATAAAAAATATAATATAATTTAAAAATAATTATTTAAATAAAAATATAATATTAAATTAAAAATATACTGTTAATAATATATTACTTAAGTTAGAGGGGGAGAAAAATTATTCAGTAAAATATAAAAATATAAAAATATATAATATAATTAAAAATATAATTATTTAAATTAAAATATGATATTAATTTAAAATATACTGTTAACAATATATTATTTAAAGTTAAAGGGGGAAAAAAAATGTTAACAGTAACAGAGGGAGATAGAAGCAGCGGCGGAGGATTAGTTTAAGATAGTTGTGGCAGCATTGCGAATGACAGCAGCGACAATGGCAAAAGCTGTGGACAGTAGCAGCGACAGCGAGCGAAGCTGCGGACAGTAGTAGTGACAGCGGCGTAAGTTGTGGACAGTAGCAGTGGCAACGACGGAAGCTGCGGACAGTAGCGATGACGGCAGTGAAAGCTGTGGACAACAGCGACAGCAACGACGGAAGCTCCAAAGGGCATCCGATGGTGGCGGAGGAACCTACGGTCCTCTCCCTCAACAGTGGAAGGAAGCTACGGGGGCCATCGGACTCATCCGTCGACAATAAGGGAAGGCTTGGTTCGTTGCGTCTGCAACGAAGGCAGCGGCAGAAAACGTCGACAGCAAAGATAGAAGCGACACTAGGGTTCCTCGGGGTCGTGCGGGCGTGAAGCGTGGTTTTGAGGTAAGAAACTACGAACCGAACCAACATTAAACCGATTCGATTCGCCTAATAGAATCGGGCGCTCGCCCGAAGCGCCCAGCACTTGCGTTTGAGCGAGTGCCCAAGCGGCGCCTCATTGAAGCGTACCGTCTAGTGCACACACGAGGCGCTCGGGCCTCGCCTCGGCTTGCCCAAGTGCTTATTTAAATCACTGCTTTCTAGTAGGAAATTACAAGTCATAAGGAAAAGTAGATAAAAAGAATTGCTAGGCTTTTTTCTTCAACTGATATGGTTCTGCATCTATTTATCATGCTAAACTCATAAGAAGTCTCAATACTTTACTATTCAATTTTTAACCAAACTTAAACTCTAAATTATATCAAATATTCCAATCCTAACTGAACTCAAATTTCAACACTATTTTAACACTCTCCCAAAACGTCGATGTTCTCAACTCCAAGTTTTTCTCCAATATAGGGATGTTGCAACATCTCATGCTTCAAACATATGTGATATAATGAGTTATGAGGAGTGACAATCATAACCTTGTTAATGATGCCTAAAAAATTTCTTCATTTATAGCTACTACCATAGTATTAAGGAGATCACCAATACTTTCTAAAAAATGAATATAAACTTGAACTCATCCTTGGATTTTCAAACTCAACTCTAAGTGGTTGCAAACATACTTTCTTCACTTTAGTCAAATCTTAGAAAATCTTGTGAAGGGTGGACCAAAAATCATGTGATGTTTTGGCTGCTAAAATTCGAAGGAACACTATCTCATCAATGACTCGTTGCAATGAGCACATGACATGTAGGTCTTTTCTTTAATCGTCTTTGTAAGCCTGGCCACATGATGGCCTTCAATTAGATTCTGTAAATCTTAATAACAAAATCATATTTCCATCGTCACACTACACATCTAATAATTATCTCTCTAATAATTGAGAGAAGTCAACTACAAAATCTCCATGTTGGGGCCTGCGTTGCTGCTCACCATCATCAACAAAAAGTTATATTATGACAACTGTGTTGCCGCTCGATATCATCAATAAAAAGAAATCTCATGATGACGTCTGTGTTGTTGCTCGTCGTCATCAACAAAAGTTAACTACAACTCTGAGCTCTAATATCATTCGCTGAGGACATGGATCAAAAATAAAGGAGAAAGAAACCCATATGACAATAACATAAAAGATCTGATGTATCAAATAAGAACTTTATTAGCTAAAGAACCTGAAGAACCTTGCAGCTCATTCACTGTTGTTTATCCAATATTATTTGACCACATATATCAAAGGAGGTTCAGCCTTTATTTATAGAGCTAAACACATAAAGAGTCTCATTATTTTGAAACTCAATTTTTAACCAAACTCAAAGTCTAAACCATATTCAATTATTTTAATCCTAATCAAGCTCAAACTTCAATGTTATCTTAATATATCCAGTATCACTTATGCAATACCCCGATTTAGCCTTATAAGGATTAGATGAGTCTACTATTACTAATTTGGGCTTAGCTATTTTTTGTTCAGACTCAACAAGTTAATGGATTAGTTATTCATCAGATTGAATCATAACAAATAGTATGAAAACTGATCCTGTATTCGGTATGGTTAGAGGTCTCGAGTAGAAAAAAACTACACGAAGATAACACAAGGAATGTCATGGCATGAAGCCACCACTAGGCTGGGCCTCATGTACTTAATGCTAGAGTTTGATGCTATTAATGGAGATTATAAGACCC